TCAAATTTTTAAAATAGTAAATTTAAATTTCACACAAGAGTAAGTACTATGAAGAGAACATTTTGTTTTTTCAGTGCTGGAAATTGAACCCAGGACTCTGTGAATTCTAGGCAATAACGGCTCTGCTACCCAGACACATTCCTAGTTCTAAGACAAAAGTTAAGTTAAATAAAGGCAGTGTCTTAGTTAGGGTTTATTATTGCTGTGAAGAGACACCATGACCATGACAACTCTTATAAAGAAAACTATTGTGTGATGTTTTACTCTTTTGGCTTTTTGAGGGGCCCACCATCCAGTTCCCAAATAAACCATACATGGAGGCTTATTCTTAGTTACAAATGCCCAGCTTTAGATTGGCTTGTTTCTTGCCAGCTATTCTTAAATGAACCCATCTATCTTTTGCCTCTGGGATTTTGCATTCCTGCATACCCTTCTTTCCTTCTTGTTCTGGCTCTTGCTGTGTAGCTGGCCCCTGAAGCCCTCCTCTCTTGTTCTCTTGCTGCTCCTCTTCCTCATTTCTCCTATTTATACTCTCTGCCTGTCAGCCCTGCCTATCCTTGCTCCTGCTTTTCTATTGGCCATTCGGCTCTTTATTAGACCATCAGGTGCTTTAGACAAGCAAAGAATCACAGCTTCAGAGTTAAATGCAGCATAAACAAAAGCTACACACCTTAAAATAATATTCTACCACAGAAAACATTTAGTTGTGGGTAGCTCACTTACAGCTTCAGAGGTCCTGATCATGATGGGGAGCATTTTGGGGTGCTGGCAGACATGGTACTGGGGCTGAGTGCTACACCTTGCAGGCAACAGGAAGTCAACTGAAACACTGGGCAGTATCCTGGGAATAGGAAACCTCAAAGCTCATCCCCAGTGACACACTTCCTCCAACAAGGCCATACCCACTCCAACAAAGCCATACCTCCTAATAGGGGGCCAAATACATTCAAATTACCACAGGCAGCATGAATGAGATTGCAAATTTGGTTACCAAAACATACTTTTCTGAAACAGACTGACTCTAAATCCACTGAATAGAGAATCCCTGCAGATTTTCATTGACCATAGTCTTGGGAGTTTGGACACAGAACCTCATGTATTTAATAGGCAGTGTAGAAAAGAAATGACTTAGCAGGGACACTGATGGTTTAGTGGTAGAGATGCAGACAAAGTCAACCCACAGAGGGAAGATGAACACAGAGACCATCAAGAAACTGGCAGTTTCAGAGGAACAAAAAGCCTCAGGTTCCAGTGGGTTTCAGGTTGGCAGTCCTGACCTTTGGGTCTCTGAGTCCTAGAGTTTTCAAAGCTGCAAGGCCCTTTATTTTTTTTCTTTTGTTTTTTTCTAATATGAGTCATGTACTAAGAATAATCGTGTATAAGTTTTTGTTTTGAGTTTTCTTGGATTTACACCTAGGAATAGCTGGATCAGCTCTTTGTTTAGCTTTTTGATTAGCTACTAAAGTTAAGTGTTTTTTAAAAATGCTATAGCAGCCAGGCTATGGTGTCTCACACCTTTAATCAGGACACCTTTATTCCCAGCACTTGGAAGTGAGTCATAGGCAGGAGGATGTCTGTGAGTTCGAGGCCAGCCTGGTCTACAAAGTGAGTTCCAGTACAACCAGGATTGTTTCACAGAGAAACCCTGTCTCGAAAAACAAAAAATGCTACAGCAAGTCAGGCAGTGGTGGAACACACCTTTATCCCAGCATTCAGAAGGCAGAGGAATCCCAGCACTCGGGAGGCAGAGGCAGGCGGATCTCTGTGAGTTCGAGACCAGCCTGGACTACCAAGCGAGTTCCAGGACAGCCTCCAAAGCCACAGAGAAACCCTGTCTCGAAAAAACCAAAAAAAAAAAAAAAAAAAAAAAAAGAAGGCAGAGGAAGGAGGATCTCTGTGAATTTAAGGCCAGGCTGATCTACAGAGTGATTTCCAGGACAGTCTCCAGAGCTATACAGAGAAGCTGTGTTTCAAAAACAAAAAACAAAACCAAAAACCAAAAAAGCAACATTTTACATTCCCATCATCAATAGCATATGAGGTCCCAAGTTCTTCATATCCACTTCGTTTTTTTCCAGGTTTTTTTTTTATTGTTTTGTTTTGTTTGTTTTTCGAGACAGGGTTTCTCTGTGGCTTTGGAGGCTGTGCTGGAACTAGCTCTCGTAGACCAGGCTGGTCTCAAACTCACAGAGATCTGCCTGCCTCTGCCTCCTGAGTGCTGGGATTAAAGGCATGTGCCAAACGCTCGGCTCTTATTAATTTAAAGATTTACTTATTTATTACCTATACAGTGTTCTGCCTACACGCCAGAAGAGGGCACGAGATTGAATTGTAGATGGTTGTGAGCCACCATGTGGTTGCTGGGAATTGAACTTGGGACCTCTGAAAGAGCAGTCAGTGCTCTTAACCTCTGAGCCATCTCTCCAGCCCCCAGATCTTTTTTATTATTTTTAATTTTTCTTATATATATTACATCCCAACTGGTTTTTCCCTCTCCTTTCCTTCCAGCTCCCCTCACCACCACCAACCACACTCTATTTACCTTCAGAAAACAGTAGGCCTCCCAGGGATATCAACCAAACATGGCATATCAAGTTGCAATAAGACAAGGTACTTCCCCTAGTATTAAAGCTAGACAAGGTGACCCAGTGGAAGGCAAAGAGTCCCGACTCCAGGTAAAAAGAGTCAGAGATAGCCCCTGCTCCCACTGCTAGGAGTTCCACAAGAACACCAAGCTACACAACTGCCACTTACTATGCAAAGGGCCTAGGGCAGACCCACGCAGCCTCCCTGGTAGTCAGTTCAGTTTCTATGGGTCCCTATGGGCCCAGGTTAGTTGATTCTGTGTGTCTTCTTGTGGTGTCCTTGTTTCCTCTGGCTCCTCCAACCCTTCCACCCCTCTTCCACAGGATTCCCTGAGTTCTAATGTTTGGTTGTAGGTCTCTGCATCTATTTCCATCAGTTGCTGGATGAAGCCTCTCTGAAAAAGATTATGCTAGACTACTGTCTATGAGTATAGAAAAGTATCATTAGGAATAATTTTATTCTTTTTTCAGTTTATGCCAGTCATGTTTGGTTCCTAGCTTCTGATTCCTGGCTTTTCGGGCAGTGTCAGGGATGGGCTGCCTCTTGTGGCATGGGTCTCAAGCTGGAGCAGACGTTGGTTGGTCACTCTCCCAATTTCTACGTCACCTTTACATCTTGTAGGCAGGACAAATTGTAGGTCAAAGGTTTTGAAGCTGGGTTGGTGTCCCAACCCCTCCACTGGCTATAAGAGATGGCAAAGTACTTTACGATCAAGCCTCTCTCACTTCTTCAACAGTGGAATGATTACATGTCTGCCCTCCTCAGGAGAGAGTGTGCTGGTGCAGAGAGGTCACCATGCTCCTCAAGCTACTCTGAATTAGTTAGGATCTCAAAAACAGAAACCTGATTTCAGGAATCTGAATACAACAATTTACAAACAATGCTGGATATGATGAAAGGCACCAAATATAAGGAGAGTGAAGGTCTCTAGTCTAAGCATCATGTCTTAGGAACTGGAAGAGAGCAGATGGCCTTCAAGGAAAGAAGTCACAGGCTACCTAAGTCCAAGGACAAAGAGCAACAGCAAACACAAGTGTTTACCTTGCTGGAAGAGCAATTTCTCTCTTTACAACCAAAAGGAAAGTCTGATGTCTAGTTTGGCCCTGCTGTGTTCACTATGGTTCTAACTCAAAATGAGGTCCGGGAATTGGGATTCACGAGTCCAGACTAGCACTGAACTGATGTAGGCTAAACTGTGAACCATCTACTATTCCTAACATAGAAACCCCAAGTCCCAGTATCATACAATGTTAGGCTACACTTGGATGTCAGACCTTTAAACGGCATTATGTATGTTAAAATGAGGCTTTTTTTTTTTTTTTTGGTTTTTCGAGACAGGGTTTCTCTGTAGCTTTGGAGGCTGTCCTGGAACTCACTTTGTAGACCAGGCTGGCCTCGAACTCACAGAGATCCGCCTGCCTCTGCCTCCCGAGTGCTGGGATTAAAGGCGTGCGCCACCAACGCCCGGCAAAATGAGGCTGTTAGAGTGGGAAAGGAACCAGGGACAAAGATGCACAAAGGAAAGGTCCTGGGGGGACACTGTCTGCAAGCCAGAAGAGAATTCCCCAAGAAACTGACACTACCTATGACACTTACCTTGGATTTCCAGTCTCTAGGACACTAAGCAAATCAACAGCTTTTTTCTTTTTTTAAAGATTTATTCTGTCTGCATATACCCCTGCATGACAGAAAGGGCATCAGATCACATTACAGATGGTTGTGAGCCACCATGAGGTTGCTGGGAATTGAGCTCAGCACCTCTGGAAGAGCAGTCAAGTGCTCTTAACCACCAAGCCATCTCTCCAGCCCACAAATCACTTGCTTTTGTTTAAGTCACCATATTCTGTGCTATTTTGTTATGAAGTCTAGGGAACCAAGACCTGAGCCCTCTGGACTGTTTCAGAACATTATGTTTTTTGTAAATCAGCTCCTAATAATCTGCTGTAGAATGTGGCATGAAAATCAACACAAGGGGCTGGAGAGATGGTTCAGCGATTAAACACTAGCTGCTTTTCTAGAAGACCTAAGTTTAATTCCAAGCACCCAAATAGTAGCTCACAACCCTCTGAAACTATTTCCAGGTGATCCAAAGCTCTCTTCTTGCCTTTGCAAGAATCACTGCATGCATGCAATGCACAGGCATGCATGGAGACAAAACACCCATACACTTTTAAAAAACAAAAAACAGTCTTTAGCCGGGCGGTGGTGGCGCATGCCTTTAATCCCAGCACTCGGGAGGCAGAGGCAGGCGGATCTCTGTGAGTTCGAGGCCGGGCTGGACCGATAGCCTCCAAAACAATACAGAGAAACCCTGTCTCGTAAAAACCAAAAAAAAAAAAAAAAAAAAAAAAAAAAAAACCCAAAAAACAAACAAAAAGAAAACAGTCTTTAAAAAACTAGAAAAGATGGATGGGTGGTGTTGGCACACACCTTTAATCCCAGCACTTGGGATGCAAAGGCAGGCAGATTTCAATGAGTGTGAGGCTAGACTGGTTTACAAAATCAGTTTCAGGACAGTCAGGACTGTTACACAGAGAAACCCTGTCTTGAGAAACAAACAATAAAATAAATTAAAAGAAAACTAAAAGAAAATCAAGACGTAAGTTCAAGTGCATCCTTTCCAGAGTCAGTGAGGTGAAACAGGCTAGGCTTCCCCGAAGGCCAGCTGATGAGGGTAGTCCAGAGTCTGCTTCTATTACTGTTCATCCTGAAAGGGTCCAAATGGGCCCCAAGCCTCCTGATTTCCTCAGAATGCAGTTTCCATGTAGCCTTCAGAGCCACCTTCATGGTTCTATGTATCTTCTCCTTGGCTAGAAAGCACCTTCTGGATTCGCTCCTGTACTTCCTTTGGACCCAAGGACACCACCATCTCAGCCACAGGGGGTCCTTGCTAAAAAAAAACCAGAAAAACAAGAACACTGTCTTGTTGCCTTGAACTGAAGAAGGAATTCATGCCTAGTTTCAATGTCTCAATTTGTAGAAGACAAAGCCAGGCCAGCCCCACCCCACAGCCTGCAACCCCAGGAGAGGAGCCAGAATTTATTGTATTTTCTTTTATCCAGGGTGATTTTGTTGTTTTTGCTTTATTTTTGCAGAGTTAAAAGAGCATCATGAATGACAGCAAATAATTCGGCACTAAGCTGTAGCCCAGCTCTACTCAGTCCTACTTCTCTGGATATTTTTCCCATTCAATGGGCTCCCAGGAGACTGTTTCTGCCCTTGGCAAATTAGTGATCTATCTATTATTCTCATGATCTCTGAAGAGGCAGGGATCACATATATTCTGTTCATGTCATCTCCACTGTAACTATCACAGTGCTTGCACACAGAAGATGCTCAGTGGATAAATGAAGGAAGTGTTTGTGTTTCATTGGTTTATCAAGCCCTGGACTGGCTTTAGTACCAGATTGTGCACATTGGCTGGAAGGGCCAAGGAGAGAGGCTGTAGACAACAGTTCAGTTCAGGTCCCATCTCACCAGCTGTCCACTGAGGATCATTCGGAGCAGCTTCATCATACTGCTATACTTGGTATCTTCCAGGCCTTCTGATAGCTTCTTCAGTTCTCTGTTCACCACATCCTGAGTTAGGCTCAAACCAGATCTTTCTAAAAGTCTAAAAGAGAGCCAGTCTGAGATGGGTGTGATGATCATGATGGTAAACCCAGAGCTGGGGAGGCAGAGCCAGGCTAGCCTGGTCTACAGTGCAAGTCCCAGGACAGCCAGGGCTTCATACAGAAACCCTGATTTGGGAGGGAGAGAGGGAGGGAGGGAAGAAGACAGAGAAGGAGGGAGGGAGGGAGGGAGGGAAAGACTGAGGGAGGGGGAGAGACAGAGAGAGGGAAAGAGAAGGGGAGGGGGAGGAAGGAAGAGAGAGAGGGACAGAAAGAGGGGGAGACAGGAAGAGAGAGACACTGACTATAATGGGCATCCAGGGTAGGAGAGGAAGGGTTAGGAGACGGTTATTTACCTACAGAACATAGTTTTATTAGGGTTAGGAAGTTTACTACACAATCTACGATAGGCAAAAAATGATGGATATATATATATATATATATATATATATATATATATATATATATATATATATGGCCCATATATATATATATATATGGCCCATGAAAGTAGTAAGATATCAGTAACTAATAGGACACCACAAAGCCAGTGAGATGGCTCAGTGGGTAAGAAAGCCTGCTACCCAGCCTGATTGAATTGAGCTCAATCCCCAGGTCCCACACAGTGGAAGGTGAACTAACTCTCCCCAAGCGGTTCCCTGATTTTCACATGTGCCATGGCATGTAACTTCCTCATGCACACAAAGTGAATGTCAAAAGAAAGAAGACATGGGTATGGGCGTGTGTGTGTGTGTGTGTAAAATTAAGAAGTTGCTATAAGAGAATTTACTAACTGCCATGTAATCACTATGCCTCTATTTTTTACTCATTAGTAGGGATAATAATAGCACATGTACTGCACAGAGAGTAACAGAGACTTAAAATATGATCAGCACTAAGTAAAGCCCTGAACTCATGGCAAACACTCAAAAATATTGGATACTACGTTTCAACAAAAGCTTAAAACTTGCCTGGCCATAGTGGCCCAGCATATTTCCAAGGCAGAGGCAGGCAGATAGATGTCTCTGAGTTTGAGGCCAGCCTGATCTACAGAGGGAGTGCTATGATAGCCAAGGCTACACAAAGAAACCCTGTCACAAAAACAAAAACAAACAAATAAAAGAACTTAGCTAGTATTTACTATACCCTACAGTTGAGAGACATTGCAGGAGAACCTAAAAAGAAAACTTAGGAATGGGTTTGACACAGGATGCTTGCAAGAATGGGTAATTTCTGATGAATTACTTGAAACAGCTTCAAGATTTGTCAAAGGGAGTATAGCACAGAGGAAGAGAAAGAAAACATCAGGAAACACCAGCTCCAGGAACAGCTCTGTTGTCAATAAGCTAGGTAGAGTCTCTTTTTAACCCAAACAGAAACATGAAGTATCTAAACTCTACCAGGCAGGCAGCAACCACATCCTGGCAGCCAAGCTAAGACCCTTTCCAAAAAGCATGTTTGAGATTCGAGTGGTCCCCAACTTGTAAGAGCTGGTCTTGTAAACTATCCATCCCATCTCTGATTGAGGCACTAGGTGGGTACATTCCACTGCAGCGTCCCTGGTCCCTTAGGATTGTATCCCAGGGGCTGGAGAGATGGCTTAGCAGTCATGAGGACTTACTGCTTCTAGAGAATCCAAGTTCAGTTCCAAGCACCCATGTCAGGTGGCTTACAACCACCCTTAACTTCATTTCCAAGGAATCAGTGCCCTTTTGTAGTCTACACACACACACACACACACACACACACACACACACACACACACACACACACACACGGACACACACACACCCGAAAGACAAAAACAAACCAAAAAATAGGACAGAGGTAATATACCAATGCTGCATGCATGAGCGGAACCTCTGCTCCTTATGAGGTCCACACCATGGTGCTCTGAGCGCCAGCTCAGTGTGGAGTAGTACTGACTCAGGAAGTAGTCTTTTTTTTTTTTTCTAGACAGGGTTTCTCTGTATTGTTTTGGAGGCTGTCCTGGAACTCACTCTGTAGACCAGGGTGGCCTCGAACTCACAGAGATCCGCCTGCCTCTGCCAGCTGAGTGCTGGGATTAAAGGCGTGCGCCACCAACGCCCAGCTTAGGAAGTAGTCTTACAAGTGATTTGAAGAAACAGCCTCTCAGTGTACACAGCTTTTCTTAACAACTGCCAGACTTCAGCAGCTGATCACATGAAAAAACAAGGAGAAGGTCATTGCCTGCCACTGAGTCTGCTGGCACTCATTTGTAGACCCAAGAAAAGAATATGTTGTTCATAGAAGTCTATGGTATTTTTATCAAGCAGTCTTACTGGACGAAAGCCAACCATTAACTGGGCACAGGTTCACTGCTGTTTACAAAATCAAGGAGATGAAATACTAAAAATATAAAATGTAATATAGGAAGAAAACAGACACTCCCCAATGTCACTGCATTCAAGGAAGGAGGCTGCCAAAGACAGAAGGACAGGCCCCAGGAAACTGCTAATGGCACCCCAGGACATGTTAGAGCTGGCTGAGAGCTGGGCACTGGCACAAAAGTGGTCTGGTGGCTCCTAGGCACTAGGATGTCAACTTTCCTGACTTGAGTAGGAAACCCAGGGTCTCTAAAATCTAACTCACCACAAGGATGAGAAGCTGAGACACAGTCTTGGTGAATTAGAATTAATAGCTAGAGAGACGGTTCAGCAGTTAAAAGCATACACTGCTCTTTTGGTGGGTCTGAGCTTGGTTCACACTGGGTGGCTCAATCTATGTCTAGCCTCCACAGGTATTGCATTCATATGTACGTACACATCCAAATACACTTTAAAGAAAAAATGAATTCAGTACTTTAATCCCAGCATTTGGATGATGGCATAAACAGGTGGACCTCAACAAGTCTGAGGCCAGCCTGGTCTAAACAGACCAACCAAGACTATATAGTGAGACTCTATCTCAAACAACAACAGAAACAAACAACAAATAGAAAAAACAAAAGAAAAAAGAACTAAAGACCCTATGATGGAATGTACCAAATTATTGACAATATTAGTTTTTGGGTACTGATTGGGGATGGACTTGCAAATATGCTTAGTAATATCCATGCAAGGTTAGTCATTGTACAGTTACTTCTAAAAGCAAAATTTGGAAGTAACCCCAATGTACATAAAAGATAAACTAAATTCTTGTTTAAGTGGTGTTACAAGTAAAGTAAAGTTAGCCATATATAGGAATAAGAAAACTTACTGCTGGGTACAGTATTTCATGCCTACAGTCTCAGTTTCTTGGAAAGAAGAAAAGAACTCATTTTTGATCAGTTTGGAACTAGCCTGGGCAACATATAGTACCCATCTCTTAAAAAAAAAAAAAGAAAGAAAGGAAGAAAGAAAGAACTCAGCAGTTAAGAGCACTGGCTGCTCTTCCAGGAGACCTGAGTTCAATTCCCAGCACCCACATGGTGGCTCATAGCCTTCTGTAATGGGATCTGACTGCCTCTTCTGGTGTGCATGAAGAAGAGTACTTGTAGACATAAAATAAATACATACATCCTAAAAAAATGAAAGAAAGAAAAAAAAGGCAAAAAGTGGAAAAATATATCTAAAAACACCTAAACATTACCACTGTACTATACATTTTGGACAAAGTGGAAAATAAAAATTATAATTATGAGAAGAACTAGGCAGTTGGAAGAATGCACCAAGGCATAACCATACACCACCATTCTGGCTTCCAATATCCAGGTTTAAAGCCAAGGTTTAAAAAGTTTTAGTGTATTATTAATATACCAGACACAAAAATGGTGCACAGGCATACATGCAGCCAAAACACTCAGATGCATAATATAAAACTAAATAAAGCTGGAAGGTGCTAGCGCACACCTTTGTTCCCAGCACTAAGGAAGCAGAAACAGGTGAATCTCTGTGAGTTTGAGGCCAGCCTGGCCTACAGAGTGAGTTCTAGCACAGGCTCCAAAACTACTGAGAAACCTGGTTTTGAAAAACCAAAACCTAAATAAATATTTAAAATTTTAATTAGATAAAAACCCTTTTATTGCTATAGTAAGCCAGGTCCTTTCTTCCCTACACACAGCTGAGGAAAAGGAAGGACGCTCTGGGAGAGGAGCCACCTGGGCCTTTGGGGTTGCTGTCCTTACCTGAGAGTCAGTGAGAGAGCATGTTTTTAGTTTGTCATAGTTTTGTGATGGGGCCCAAGAGTCAAACATTTGGTGCAGAGAAGCTAGAGCAGAGTGGGAAGGGTGTGTCTAACCCTTAGTCAGGGGTGTGAACACTTACCCTAGCAAGCGTTTGACAATCACGTCCACCTTTTCCAAGTCAATGCCCAGCTGTGATCTATGGACAACAGGGCGAGTCCATAAGTAGGAGTACATTGGGGAGAGCAGATCCTGCAGGCGGCTGATGTGGCCCTGGGGAAAGAGGCAGTCACCACATGCACTGGGAGCTTGGGAAATACTGGAAGGAGAAAGGAGGCCCTAAAATCACACCTGTCGCATCAAGATGATTCTCTCCAGATATGTTGGGTCCAGAACATCCTTGTCTTGCAGTTGATTCCCAAATGCCTCCTTTACTAGGGTCTGCAGCTTCTCCACCAACTGGGGCCTCTGGGTCTCACTGCTCACCAGCCGTTGCAGGTGCAGCCTGGAGGGTGGGTAAGAAAAGGGGATGCTCTGGTACTAGTACACCAGGTCTATGCCAAACCTCTCCCCTCAGGACAGCAGTAAGGATATGAAGACTGCCACATCTTCAAACCTCATGGGTAAAATATTTTTTTTGTACGTATAAAAGGATCAAGATTTAATGGAGGTCACAGTCAGCCTAAGTCTAGGCAGATATGATGTTTTCAGTGTTTTTATTTTATTGATTTTTTTTTACAAGGTCTCCCTATGTATCCCAGGCTGGCCTCCAAAATCACAGAGATCCACCTGCCTCTGCACCCCAAGTGGAGAATAAAGGTGTGCAACACCACACCAGGCATTTTCAGTGTTTTAAAAACAGTAGGTGACTTTCTCCACTTACTTTTGAGCAAACTCAGGGCTTCATGCATGCTAAGGAAGTATTCTAAAACTGAGCTACAGCCAGCAAATAAACTATTTTAAGCTAGATCACAGTAAGGAACATTCTGGCTTTTCCTGTGGAATGAGCAGCTCTGGGTGCACAACGCCCTGGCCACAGCCTTAACTGGCTGGATAGGCTGGATTCATGCTGTTGGCTCAGACTCCACAGTCCTCCAGCTGCCCTGGCGCTTTCTTCCTTAGTGCCTTGCCAGCATCTCTCTCCCCACACTATCACCTGACCACTACAGGCACCTAAGTTTACACAGAAGGATTCAGGAATGTGCTTTCTAGCCTCACTTGGATTATGGAGCACTGAAAAAAAAGGAGAGGTAGAAAACGTATTCCGAGCATCTGGAACAAGGGGCTGTTCCAATGAAGTACTCAGCTTCAAATTTCTCTCTTTTCTGAATCTCAACTCCCTGATTTTCTCCTTTTGAACAGTAAAGCCTCCAAGAGTCCACCCCTCACACCAAGCCCTGTCATCTTCAGTCCCCAGGCTGTCCTTTGTCTCTTTGACAGGACTGGAAGGGCCATGGAGACTCAGAGTAATGCAGAACCAGGGACCATTCTAAGTCCTGTGGCCTCTTGTCTATGTTACAGAGAAAAGCCAAGTAGTAAAGTGGCAAATAGCTCATGGGGTTGGGACTGGGAAAGTCTTGATTCTAAAGCCCACCAGCCAAGTGTTTGCAGTAACACAAACAGTCACTGAAAAGCTAGAGAGCCTTGGCACAGACAGGGCCTGGAAGCCACCCATTCATGGGCTGCAGACCCACATGAGTCTGAGGCTCCTGGTATATCACAGGATAGAAGATAAGACATTATGGGAAGCTATCTGGAATGTAAACTGGCAAAAAATTTAAAACTTTTTGCTTTGCTTTTGGTGTTCCAGACAAATTCTATGTAGTCAGGCTGGCCTGGAACTCACCATCTTCCCACCTCACCACCCACCCCACCCCCAAGTGCTGGGATTAAAGGCACGTGTAATTTGATTGAAAAATACTTTTTTAAAGAGTATTACAGACAAGAGGTGGTGGCGCACACCTTTAGTCCCTCCACTTGAGAGGTAGAGACAAGTGGATCTCTGTGAGTTTGAGGCTAGCCTAGCCTAGTCTACAAAGTGAGTTCCAGGACAGCCAGAGCTACACAGTGAAACCCTTTCTTGAAAACCAAACCCAAACCAAAACAAAACAAAAGAATATTACGGAAAACATATGCATGTAATACAGAAACAATAGGATCTCTTTAGCATCAAGGCCAGACAGAAAGAAGGAAAAACAATCCAGAAGTCTCTCCTGGTCATGCTGCATTGATACACAAGTCCAACTCTGGGATATAGTCAGGCTAAATGAATCTTAATGAATATTCTCACATTCATATACTACCAGTATTTACTGCTACTGCCGCTGGGACACTAATATACTTTCTAATATATTTACTGTGTCTCTGAAGTAAGTATGGCAGTGGCATGATGACAGAAACATGAGGATAATTCAGCTTGACTAGATTAAATCTGTGGGAATCAGTACTAAAGTACTTCCCTCCCTAAGCAGACTCTTGACCCTCCCTGCCTTTTTGCTGACCCCTGGATTTCAAGCATCACACAGTATCTCTGACCGACCCCCATTTTCCCCTGAAATAGTAATTCTGTGGAATAAAAAAAAGTAGTTGTACTGCATCTGACACACTAGCTTACATTCACTCTTGCAGGCTCCATGCAAGAGATGCCTCACTGTGCATTGTGTAAATGCATTAGTCACTGAAATTCTGTCTTGGACCCCATATAGCTAATACATAGCAAAGTTACAGAACTGATAAAGTCATGCACTTAAAACAAGTGCAGTTGAGTCAGTGAAGGCAGGAAGATAAAGATTCAAGGTCATCAATGGTCTACATAGTAAGTTTGAGGCCACAGCATAATCATTGAGGCCTAGAATTTACAATTCTCCTGTCTCAACTTCCCAAGTGCTGGGATTATAGGTATGCATCATAGTGCTTGGCTCTCCGACTTACCTGTTGAACTCTGGGAGCTTCTCCAGGTCCAGCAGGGCTGAGTGGCAGGTGATCCGGGTCAGGTCAAACTGTGTTATCAGCTCCGGCAGGGTCCTGCCCATTTGGTTCTCTGCAAGTCAGGTCCACTCAGTTGCTCAGCTCCTCCCTCATCTTATTTCTGTCCTTCCTTTTATCTTTCTTTCTGCACTGCCCAGGCTGGCTTACAGATTTTGATCCTCCTACCTCAGTTTCCCACGTAGCTGGAATACAGGTGTTGGTTACACCGCCCTGCTTTCTTACCACTTTCACACACAAAGGAGAGTAAGTGAGCAAGCTGTAGGCTCCCCCACATTTGGATCAAAGCAGCAAGAACAGTGTGCCAACTGCCTAGCTACTCTCGAGCTTCTGGTGTGCGTGGCTCTGAATAGAGTCTGACACCAGCATGCCCTACAAACTTCATACTTACTGCTGCAGCGGAACCTCAGTGCTGGAAGCTGCTGCTTTTGTTTCATTTGAGAAAGGACTTTGGTATTATATAGTCCAGACTGACATCAAACTAGCAATCCTCCTGCTTCAGCTTCTCTAGTGTTGGGACTCCATACCACACCCAGATGGGGAGCTGTTTCTTTTTTGAACATTTTTTCCCTTATTTTTATTTTGTCTGTGTATGAGTGCACACTACTGGAACCTGACCAGAGGCCAGAAGAGGGTGATAGATCCCTTGACACTGGAGTTACAGATAGTTGTGAGTCATCTGGTATGGGTGCTGGGAACAAATTCACACTAGCAAGAGCTTTTAGCTGCTGAGCTATCTCTTTAGCCCCTTGGTAGCAGTTTCTTTATGTGCAGAAGCTCCATTTGGTGCAGTCAGAAGGCACCATGGTCAGACACAGGCTTCAAGAACTAGATCCTTTACTAAGGATGTGACTATGGCAAGTTACATCCTCCTTGAACCTCAAAATCACCTTAGAAACTAGGATTATCAAATTATTGCCACAAGAAGTCATCCTGTTTGGTACTTGGTTCTTCAAGGTTTGTGTTCTAAACCCTGAATAAGCTAGATTCACAACACCAGTAATACTGTTAGAGCTCATACTTGTATAATTATAGTAATCATAAAGTCTGTGGCTTTTGGGCTTATGGTGTGGCCAGACACTGAGCTGGTTCCTTATATTTATAAGCTCACTGGCTCCTAATTATCCCTACAAGGCATATCCTTAGCCCTATCATATGGACAAGTTTAATGAGACTCTAGGTCTTTGGTGCAGGGACAGTGGCTGTGAGTTCCACTTGATCAACAACAAAGCTGTGTGGGAAAACTGAGTGAGGGAACACAGTAGTTTGACTCAATAAATACTGCTGACTAGAACAATGAACTTGTACAAGACCGTGTGACTGATAGGTGGCAATGCTGGGACAGATTGGCCTGTATCATGTGACTCAAGTTCAGTCACATGACCACTCTGGTGTATATATACCTGCAAACCCTGAGCCACAGTTGGTGATGATGTCAAGTAAGGCTTCAGGCAGAAAACCAGCAGCAGCAAAATGCTCCAGGAAAATGTCCCCTTGTCTCTTAGACAGCTTGCTACCATCCCTGTTGAGGAGCAGGGGCAGATGAGCAAATTGAGGCGGCTTCCAGCCCAGGGCCTGGTAGAGGAGCAGGTGCTTAGAGGTGGAGACGAGCCACTCAGAGCCCCGCAGCACATGGCTGATGCTCATGTGGTGGTCATCTACCACACAGGCTAGATGGTAGGTGGGAAAGCCATCACTCTTCAGGATAACTGGATCCCCCTCTACACTGGCCACTTCATGCTGAGTCCAGCCATATACAAGGTCCTGGAAGGCTGGTGCTGCTTCCTCCAGGCGGAAGCGGATAGCAGGCTTGGGGTCCACGGCCAACTTCTGGGCCACCTGTGCCTGGCTCAGGTTCCGGCAACGATTGTCATACCTATTATGAGACAGAGCAGCAGAGTAGCTAAGAAAGCATCAATGGACAATATCCCAAGTTCTGTTTATTTTTGTTTGTTTGTTTTTTGAGACAGGGTTTCTCTGTGTAGCTTTGGAAACTGTCCTGGAACTTGGCTGGCCTCAAACTCACAGAGATCTGCCTACCTCTATCTCCCGAGTGCTGGGACTAAAGGTGTGTACTACTACCACCCGGCTCTCAAGTTCTGGTTTCTACTTGCAGTGCCTGGGATATACCCAAGGCCCTGAGGATGCTAGTAAGGACTCTTACCAAATGAACTATAACCCCAAGCCTCACATTTGGTTTCTGATAGCTTATGACCTTGGGCATCTCATTAACCTCATTTACTCTTTTCCTTTGCTAAGAAGGACATGTAAAAATGCTCAGACCAAGAGCAGGCTTACAATGAGTACAGACGATGTAGCAATCTCATGAAGTGATCAGGCTATTCATTGAGAATCAAAGAAAAAAACACTTGGTAGGTAAGAAGGGCTAGAGTTCTGGGAAAAATAATTCTCTCCAACGAGGTTAAGACACACCCATAATGGGGGAAAACCCTCCTTTTATACCTTCCAGGTGTACTCTGTGGATGCCAACCCCTGAGAAGCTATGTTGGAACTGTTAATCCTCCAAACAATTAAGGGAGAGATGGTAAGGCTGTCAGCAGGCAAGGTAATAGTCAGAGAGGTCACCACAGAGTCCTGTTATCTCAAGGCTGCTCCTCTTAGAGTGATTTCCACAAGATGTAAAGGTAAGGTCTGTGTGGCTCAACAGTGCTGGGATTAAAGGCATGTGCTATCACTGCCCAGCTACTTTTAATTTTTTAAATGTATTAGTGTCCTAACAAACACAAATGTGAAGCTTGAAAACTTGGTTCTTTTTTTTTTTTTAAAGAGCTGGAGGCCAGCACTTGTTTTGTTTTTTTAATTTTTTATTTATTTATGTATTGTGTATACAGTCTTCTGCCTGCATGCCAGCAGAGGGCACCAGATCTCATTACAGATGGTTGTGAGCCACCATGTGGTTGCTGGGAATTGAACTTAGGACCTCTGGAAGAACAGTCAGTGCTCTTAACCTCTGAGCCATCTCTCCAGCCCCGAAAACTCAGTTCTTGACACATCTAACTCTTCAATCAATGTCTCACAGATCCCACGATATCATGTGACCATAACTAAAAACAATTCTTTGTACTAATGGACTATAATATGTTTACAATTAAAAACAAACAGCTGTTCATGGTGGCACATGCCTTTAGTCATAGCACTTAGGGGCAGAGACAGGCAGATCTCTGTGAGTTCGAGGCCAGGCTGGTCTTCAAATCGAGTTCCAGGACAGCCAGGGACAGAGGAACTCTGTCTTGAAAAACAACAACAGAAATAAAATCACAAACACACACACAAACAAAAATAGAAATAGAAACAAAAAAATGAAGAAAAGGAGCTGAGCATCAACATTCATCATTTCTTCACGCTGACTATGGACATAATGCAAGCAAATGGTTCAAGCCCCTGCTGCCTTGACCTCCTTGCCATGATGGACTGCCCTCAAACTGTGAGCCAGAAGAAATCCTTCCTTTCCTATTTTTTTTTTTTTGGGTCAGGGTATTTTATCACAGCAAATAAACTAAGACACTGTCCTAAACACATATCACATATGCAAATGATGTTCTCAATGTTTCCTCACTGTATTGGTAACTTTTCTATTGATGTGACAAAACACCATGGCCAAAGCAACTTATAAAAAAAAGCATTAAATTGGGATTGTGGTGTCAGAGGGTTAGAATCCATTATGGTGGAGCAAAGGCATGGTAGTAGGAACAGCTGAGAGTTCACATCTTAGAAAGCAGGAAGCAAAGAGAACATACTGAGAATGGCTAGAGTTTTTTGAAACCTCAAAGCCCTAGTGACATGCCTCCTCCAACAAGGTCACACTTCAAAGTTCCAAGGTAAATAAGGATGACCCTGAACTCCTGATCTTCTTGCCTCTGCCTCCTGAAAGCTAGGATCACAGGTAAATGTCACCATGCCAATGTCGTAAGTGGAATATTACAGTAGGATAAGAAATAAAATGATGGGCTGATATAGAAGCTCCCTCAAGACAGGTGTGTAGTATACTGCATACTACCATTGACTAGGTATTAGTAATTCCTGTTTGTCAGCTTAGGCACTGATTACCAGCTAGTACCAAATGCCTCTTGAGAAGGGAAATTAATAACCAAAGGGAGGGTTAAGAGATGCTTCTGTATATTTTGGGGTAGTTTACGTATCAAACATGGCACTCAGGAGGCAGAGGCAAGCGGATCTTTATGAGTTCGAGGCCAGCCTGGTCTACAGAAGGAGTTCCAGGACAGCCTCCAAAACAATACAGATAAACCCTGTCTCGAAAAAACAAAACCAAAACAGAACAACATGAAGCTAGTGAGATAGCTCACTGAGTAAGGGTGCCTTCTGCCAAGACTAATAACCTGAGTTCAATCTCCATATGGTAGGAGAGTACCAACTCATGAAAGTTGTCTTTTGACCTCTACATATACACTGCGGTATATAAAATAAGTATATTTTTTATACTGCTGCTTCTTAAAATAAGTTTTAAAATGTAAAAAGAAACATAAGTATTAAACATGACAAGTTTTTTAGATTTTTATTTTTATGTTTTTTTGTTTTGTTTTTTTGAGTAGGACTACACTGTGACATCCTTACTGTCCTGGAACTTGTTTTGTAGACTAGGTTGGCCTTGAGTTCTAGATATCCGTTGACCTCTTGCCTCCTGGATTAAAAGGCAAGTGCCACTACACCAGCTACTTTTACTGTTTTTAATTTTGATGGGGGGGATGTTAGGGGGGATGTTGGTATGTTCATGTGAGTACAGGTGTTTATAGAAGCCAGTAGAATCTAATTCCTCTGGAATTAGTTATGAACTCTTTCATGTAGGTGCTAAGATCAGTAACCTTTTTTTTCTATTTTGTTTTCTGAGACAGGTTCTCTTTATACAGCCCTGGCTGCCCCGGAAACTCACCATGTAGAACTGGTTAGCTTCAAACTCACAGAGATCCACCTGCTTTGCCTCCCAAGTACAAGGATTAAAGGTGTGTGTTATCACATACAGCAATTAAGTATTCTTAACTACTGAGCACTCTCCAGCCCAGAAAACATTTCATGCATTATAATAAGTTATTATTATGATCACAAATAATATTGCTTGAGGTGCAGTGTAGCCAGCAACTTCTCCTACAGCCACAATGATTGTGATCCTGCCTGTTGGCATTTATGCTCTACAATGTCCTCCTTCTAAGTATGGGCTGAACTCACACTGACTTCTTCTTCTTTTTTTTTTTCTGAGATAGGGTTTCTCTGCGGCTTTGGAGGCTGTCCTGGAACTAGCTCTTGTAGACTGGGCTGGTCTCGAACTCACAGAGATCCTCCTGCCTCTGCCTCCCGAGTGCTGGGATTAAAGGCATGCGCCACCAACACCCGGCTGCCCACTGACTTCTTTTTAAGGAACAGAACATAAGTGGTAAGATGTTACTTCCACATTTAGGTGTATTTAGTTGCCAGGTTATGAGCTGCCCTATGCAGACCTGTGTGAAGATAGAGTTGGAAGAATGTTTACCTAGAATGTACCAGGCTATTCATTTAACTTCAAGCACTATCAAAAAGATAAAAAGAGAAGGGAGGTCGGGAATTAGCTCACTTGTAGAGTACTTGCCTAGCAAGCACAAGGCCCTAGGTTCAGCCCTCAGCTCTGGAAAAAAAGAAAAGAAAAAGACAGACCTTATGTGTATTTTGGCAGTTTAGTTAGAAGAAACACACCTGACAAGCAACGGACAACTAGTAAGACTCTTAGCCTGCCAACAGCCTCTGGGGAGAAGATGGATGAATCCTCCTCAGACAAAACTCCAGAGAACTGCAGGCTTGACACACAAAGAACCTAGCTAAGCCCCACCCAAGTGCCTGATCTGCAGGAACAGAGAATCAACAAAACCAGCTTGGGGCGGTATTCAAAGTGGGCTGGGGCTCTCACCGTGGTGTCTGCCGGTTCCTCAGGGCTTCATTCTTCAGGAGCTCCAGCCTCTGTGGTGAACAGAAACAGGGATAGGCAGCTCCAGACTTCAGCAATGCTTCTGTGGCCTGGGCATACAGTGTCAGCCGCTGTGATTGGATGTAGGGCCCTGCAGGACCACCCCGACGGGGACTTTCATCGGGTGGGATGCCTGGAGCACAGGTGGAGAATTGTCATCACACAGAACACCAGAAATGCACAGTGCCCCCCCCCAAGTATTCATCTGGATGCTTTACATACACATTGAACTTTTTGTTTTGTTTTCAAGACAGGGTTTCTCTGTGTGTAGCCCTGGCTGCCCTGGAACTTGTTTTGTAGACCAGGCTGGTCTCGAACTCACAGAAATCCAGCCTGTGCTACAAAGCAAAATCCCGTCTCAAAACAAGAAAGAAAAATCACATATATATGGGGCTCAGTGAGATGGCTCAGTAATTAAGAGTATTTACTGCTCTTGCAGAGGATATAGATTTGGCTCCCAGCTCCCACATGGAGGCTCACAACTACCTGTAATGCCAACTCAAGGGGATCTAATATCCTCATCTGGTCTCCATAAGTTCCTGCACTCATGTGGTACATACCAACTCATGCAGGCAAACACACACACACACACACACACACACACACACACACACACACACACACACACACACACAAAAACACACTTAAACTAAGCAACCTCACCAGAACTAGATAGTAAGTCCTACTGCTGAAAACACAACACAATTTTGCTGCAGAACATTCAGATATCAAACAGGAACTGACCTGAAAACTTCCTCCTTGATAAGTAGGCTTTCACAGTATAGAAGGTGTAAAGCAGGCCACTGAGGAAGAAAACACATCAATGGCATCCCTGCAGCCAACCCTGCACACTTAATAGTGGCCCACAGGCAAGATGTGTCCCAGTGGCTGGAGAACAGCATGAAGGTTACAGAGGTAACTAACTGCTTTTGGATCAGGTTTGAGGCAGGCTCCACAAGAAGGAACTCAGGCCTGGTGCTGAAACCTGACCAAAAGTCCATGTTTCAGGAGGGCACAGGCCTTCAGAAGGAATCTATTATTGCTACTTTGCTAAATGACAAGTTGTCAAATTGCCTTTTAAATCTTTATGCATATACCCTCAACCTTTCCAGGGAAGTTCCTCTTTGCAGTGGTTAGTACTTAATGTCACAACTCATAACGGGTCAGAGTGCTGAGAATAAATTTCTACTAAGTGCTCAGCTCTAAATGGAACATCTTTTATCCATTTCCCCACCTCAAGGCCCAGAGAACATCTCAGAAGAGCAAAAATAATCTAAGAGCCAGAAGATGAGGAGGAGTGATGTAAAATGCTGTCTTGGGACATGGTATGACCATTGCACTCATGAACTCCCTGCAGCTATGATTACTTGCAGAAGACCAAGTTAACATTCTAATAGACAGTACCATCTGGACTCACTGGGTTATTTGTTTAAAAAAGGAGAGGACATGAAAAGAGTGGGATGTGTTGGGGGGGCGTTTAGGGATTCCTAGCAGAGTGGGAGGAGGAGTTAGGGTGCTTATAATCAGGATACAATGCTTACATGTACAAAATTCTCAAAGAATAAAAGATATGCTGGGCATTGGTGGCGAACGCCTTTTATCCCAGCAATCCGGAGGCAGAGGCAGGCGGATCTCTGTGAGTTCGAGGCCAGCCTGGTCTACAAGAGCTAGTTCCAGGACAGCCTCCAAAGCCACAGAGAAACCCTGTCTCGAAAAACCAAAAAAAAAAAAAAAAAAAAGATACCACTTTAATCCAGCTACTTGCCTCAGTCATGAAAATGCTAGGATTGCAAATGTTAGCACTACACCCACCCAGAGTATTTTTTAAAAAACAGTATTGGGGCTCCAACCCAGAGCCTGTGCATATTAAGCAAGTGTTCTACACTGAGCTGTGTCCTGGCCCTGTAATTCATCCTTAATCTGATATTAAGTTGTGATAAAGATTCTAGAGAAAGGGCTGGAGAGGTGGTTCATTGGGTAAAGTGCTTGCTGTGTGCAGGTGTGAGAACTTGGGATCAGATCCCCTGGGGGTTCACTGACCAGGGGTTCTAACCAGTCAACTCTGGGTTCAATGAGGAAGAGATGGCACAGTGGTTAAGAGCACTTGCTGGTCTGGGTCTCAACACTTTCTTCTAGCCTCTATGGGTACAATAAGAACATGGAGCACACACGTACACGCAGACAGAACATCCATATACAAAGGAATAGGTTATTTAAAATCTTAAAAAATGAAGTAGAAAGTCCTTGAGGAAGATGCCCAACATTGACCTTTGGCCTTTACATGTACAAACAGGTTGGGAAACGGAGAAAAGGGTGTTCTTGATGGGATCGTTTCTCTGGGCACTGAGTCTTGAATAAAGTAAGGGGCAATTCTGGCTATGCAGAGTAGACGGAATCAGATGAAAAAGTTCTGTGGAAGAGTAGCAGTGTTGGGTGAGGAATACAAGGAGGCCAGTATGGCCCAAACACTACAAGAAAGCAAAATGACTGGAGTGGAAGGGCAGCAAATTCACTCAGTAAAATGCAGGGCCAGGTGAGAACTTCAACTTGATAGGGCTCTTGCTGAACCAGGTATTGTGTGAGGCTCATGTGGAGCTGATCAAAGCTGCTGCTCCTGCCTCCATTGAGCATCCACTGCCACACTGTCGTGTAAACAGGGACTGCAGTGCTTGTTCATGGTGTCTTACCACAGAAATAGAAAAGTTACTAAGACGACATCTATTGCTCACATAGATGACCCTAGTTAAATAAACAAAGTGGGCCTTAAAATAAAACCAAGTCCTAAATCTGGGAAAAAGACTGGTGAGGACTGAATGAAAAAAAGAAATAAAAAGGAAAGGACATGACTATTCCTAGATATGGTAGAGGAAAAGCTTATTGTAGATAAAAGGGGGAGCATAGTCAGAGGCAGGGACATCTGGGAGAGTCCAGAATGGATGTGACCCTGAGCTGGGGGAGTGGAGGAACAGGGGATGACCAGGTACAGCAGCCAGGAGGTTCAAAAGAAAATAGACATAAAGACCAGGAAACCAAAAAGGTTGGATTATATAGAGGGGTAGCCCAGCCCTTGGGATGGAGAAGTTCAGGGTAGGGGCGGGATATGGCAGCCAGGAGGACTCTGTAACAGGCAGGGACTGAAGGATGCCTGGAGAACCTGGCTGCCAGGTCAATTTTATAGTTAAATAGGCACCTCAGCCTTTGTCCCAGGTTTGAAACCTAACAGGGATGAGGAGGTGTTAATATGAATGGGAGTGAAATAGAGTGAAGAGAAGTATAATAAAAATATACTATATTCATGTATGAAAATGTCTTGAGAATGAAATTAATAAAAATCAATGAAGATCTTTTTTAAAAAAAAACTAATAAATTTTGATTGGAAATGATCCCCAAATTTACCTCATTCAACCTTGCTCTATTTTCCCTGTCTGTTTCTTTCTTTTTTTTCTTGTGGAGACAGTGTCTCATGTCTGGCCTCAAATTTATTGTATATCCAAGGATGGCCTTGAACTCCTGATCCTTGTGAGTGCTGGAGCTATAAGGCATACATACACACTATGCTTGTCTTTTCTCAAGGGCAAGCAGCATTTTTTTTTTTTTTGGTTTTTCGAGACAGGGTTTCTTTGTATTGTTTTGGAGGCTGTCCTGGCACTAGCTCTTGTAGACCAGGCTGGCCTCGAACTCACAGAGATCCGCCTGCCTCTGCCTCCCGAGTGCTGGGATTAAAGGCGTGCACCACCAACGCCCGGCCACAAGCAGCATTTCTTGAGAAGTAGACTAACAACTGTCTGCTGCATGAAAGGGTCCCGAAAATGGATTGTGGTTCCCTCCTCCCTTTAGTCCTAGTTAGCAGAGTTAATGTTGTTGTTATGAAACACTAGGATCTAAAGCTACTTGAAGAGGAAGGGGTTTATTTGGCTTATGCTTCCTGAAGGAAGTCAGGACAGGAACTCAAAACAGGTCAGGAACCAGGAGGCAGGAGCTAATGCAGATACCATGGAAGAATGCTGCTTCTTGGCTTGCTCCCTGTGGCTCGTAGAACCCAGGACCACTTGTTCAGGGGTGACTCCCACCAATATGGACTGGGCCCTTCCACATCAATCACTAATTAAGTAAATTCCTGGACGGATGGTGGTGGTGTGTGCCTTTAATCCCAGCACTCAGGAGACAGATGCAAGATAGTCTCCAAAGCTACAGAGAAACCCAGTCTCAAAACCAAACCAAAAAAAACAAAAAAAAACAAAAAAAAAAACAAAAAAAAAAGAAAAGAAAAAAAATGCCCTACAGGCTCCCCTACAGCCTGATTCTATGGAGGTTCAACTAAGATTCTTTCCTTCCTTCCTTTCTTTTTTTAAATTTATTTATTATGTACACAGTGTTCTGCCAGCATGTATGCCTGCAAGCCAGAAGAGGTTACCAGATGGCTATGAGTCACCATGTGGTTGCTGAGAATTGAACTCAAGGCCTCTGGAAGAGCAGCCAGTGCTCTTAACTGTTGAGCCATCTCTCCAGCCCCGAGGTTCCTTCCTTTCTTTTTCTTTGATTTTTGGAGACAGGGTTTCCCTGTGGCTTTGGAGGCTGGGAACTAGCTCTTGTAGATCAGGCTGGTCTGGAACTCACAGAGATTCGCCTGCCTCTGCCAGCCAAGTGCTGGGATTAAAGGCTCGCACCACCACCGCCTGGCCACATTCTTTATTTTCAACAAGTCTTGTTATATTTAGGATTAAATTACCTACAAGAAGATCAACTCCTAAGACTGCACTCATTTTGCTTGGCTCACAACAATGTGGTTTAAAAATAAAATAAAATAAGCGGGGCAGTAGTGTTGCATGTCTGTAATTCTAGCACTTGGCCGGGCGCTGGTGGTACACTCCTTTAATCCCAGCATTCAGCTGGCAGAGGCAGGCGGATCTCTGTGAGTTCGAGGCCAACCTGGTTTACAGAGCGAGTTCCAGGACAGCCTCCAAAACAATACAGAGAAACCCTGACTGGAAAAACAAAAACAAGACAAAACAAAACAAAAAATCCTAGCACTGGGAGACAGAGGCAGGTGGATCTCGGGGAGTTTGAGGTCAGCCTGGCCTACATAGCAAGTTCCAGGACAGGTTCCAAAGCTACACAAAGAAACCCTGTCTCAAAAAAACAAAATAAAATAAATTCAAGCTTAGGTTTAACAATGGACAGTGTTCATTAAAAAAAAGAAAGAAAAAAAAAAAAGGTGACCATTGAGGTGGCTCAGGGGTCAGAACTCTTTTGGTAAAACCTGATTAGTTTAAGCTCTAGAATCCACATTATAGCCGGGCGTTGGTGGCGCACGCCTTTAATCCCAGCACTCGGGAGGCAGAGGCAGGCGGATCTCTGTGAGTTCGAGACCAGCCTGGACTACCAAGCGAGTTCCAGGACAGCCTCCAAAGCCACAGAGAAACCCTGTCTCGAAAAACCAAAAAAAAAAAAAAAAGAATCCACATTATAGAATGAGAGAACCAACTCCTGTAAGTTGTCCTCTGATGTCCACACAAGTGCACATACACAAATAAATGAAAAAGAAATTAAGATAAAAAAGTTAGGGAGAAGACAAAAAAGGCACTTAAAAATAAAGCGGGGGGGGGGGGGGATTAGGATTATATATATGTTCAGCCGGGCATTGTGGCACATGTCAACTTTAATTTTAGTACTCAGGAGGCAGAAGCAGATAAATCCCTGTAAGTCTGAGGCCAGCCTTGTCTATATAGTGAATTCCAGGACTACATAGAGGGACCCTATCTCAACACACACACACACACACACACACTTCGGCTTTCTGGTTCTTAGAACTATAAAGCTGGACAATCTGAGGTCACATTCTCATGGGAACAGGAGCTGGCACTCATAGGCACTGTCTCCTTTGCAGAAGACTCTACTTCTTCATGTTCACTACAGGCCATTCATTTCCTAAGAGTCTGTTTCCTGCCCTGGCCTCTCAGGGAACAGACTTAAGTGAGTGAGGTAAGAGCAGGTATTCCACAACAGCCTTAGATCTTGGTTTTAGGGAACCTTGTCGGTTTTTTTTTGTTTGTTTGTTTGTTTGTTTTACAGGGAGCACCTGCCACTCCAGACTGGGCAGATTTATCTATTTTCCAGGAATTCTCATTCTCCACTTTGAACCCACAGAGAAGATCCACAGCCTCCTTCTCTGCTTCTGGTTCCTCAGACTCCTTCCTTGACAGCCTCACCTGCCCACTCCAGCATGTCCTCAATGTTCTCTGCTGCCCTTGGTACCAGTCGGCTCTGGTCAGTGTCCTCCAGCCTCAGAATGAAGCTCCCTTGGTGCTTCTTGGCAAAGATGTAGTTGTAGAGAGCGGTCCGGAGGCCACCCAGGTGCAAGAAGCCTGGTAGAAGACAACATGTCAGATGGGACAGGGAAAAAACTAGAAGTTGAAGTGCAAATAAGAATGTCCCAGTGAGCCGGGCGTTGGTGGCACACACCTTTAATCCCCCAGCACTCGGGAGGCAGAGGCAGGCAGATCTCTGTGAGTTCGAGGCCAGCCTACTCTATAGAGCGAGTTCCAGGACAGCCTCCAAAACAATATAGAGAAACCCTGTCTTGAACCCCCCCCCAAAAAAGAATGTCCCAGTGAAGTTTTAAGACCAAGAAATGGCTGTCATTGTCCTATTTCTTTGGTTAGCACACAGACTGTCACTGAAAAGAACACAGTGGGGATGGAGAAATGGCCCAATGGTTACAAGCACTGGATGCTCTTGCAGAGAACCCAGGTTCAGTACCCAGCATCTATGGTGATTCATTACTATCTGTTAACTCCAGTTCCAGTGAACATCATCTTCTGACCTCAGCAAGTACCACACATAGATGTGGTACATATGCACACGCAGACAAATCACTCGTAACATAAAATAAATCCTAATAACAACAAAAGAAAGAGTAAAGCAGGGTAGCTGACTCCATTTAGTCCTTCATCTTGGGAATGGAAGAATACCAGGTGTCAGGTCTAAGAGCTTGTCATCACATAAAGTGCTGCAACTCTTCCTGAGCACCCTCGGCATTCAACTCTGACATTTGCCTCAAGGCCAAGTTTCAGCAGCAGCAGGAGAAACAGCATTCCTGATGTGTTTGAAAATTTCCATCTCAAAATTATTCACAGAAGCCAGATCACACTAGCATTTAAGTTATATAAATCTACTGATACATTCCAGGGGTTCTAACTGCTGGGCAATGGTAGTGCATGACTTTAATCCCAGCACTCGGGAGGCAGAGGCAGGCGGATCTCTGTGAGTTCGAGACCAGCCTGGTCTACAAGAGCTAGTGCCAGGACAGCCTCCAAAGCATAGGGAAACCCTGTCTCAAAAAACAAAGTTTCTAACCTTTGGGAATTCATTTAGCTTTCACAAGTTTCAATTTACTGATGTTAGTAGGCTTAAAAAACAAAATAAATCAGGCTGGACCTGATGGTATGAACCTTTAACCACTATGGAGGCAGGAGCAGGTAGATCTGCGTAAGTCTGAGCAGCCTGGTCTACACAGCAAGTTCTAGGTCAGACAGGGATACAGTAATGTCCTGTCTCAATAAAGCATGAGTGTTTTTGTTTTGTTTTTTAGTTTTTCAAAGACAGGGTTTCTCTGTATTGTTTTGGAGACTGTCCTGGAACTCTCTCTATAGACCAGGCTGGCCTCAAATTCACAGAGATCCACCTGCCTCTGCCTCCTGAATGCTGGGATTAAAGGCGTGTGCCACCAACACCCGGCCAAAGCATGAGGTTTATCATGAGGTTGCTGTGATACCCAAATGTTGACTGAAGCAGAACTTTAAGCCAGGTCTGGTAACTCACACCTGTAACTCTAGTATCTGGAAGGCAGAAACAGGAGGATTGCTGCAAGTCTGAGTTCCAGGCCAATCATGGTGATTCAGTAAACTGTTTCCAAATCAAAACAAAAATTTAAATTTTCAATTAATTTTAGCTATCACAGTGATCTACACTGATTGACAACTTTTTGCCATTTAGGCTTTCCCTGCCTGTCAGCAAAGAAATGAATATGATTATTGCAGAAAAGGCTACTGCACATAGCCGACCTTGCTGAGTGGCTCAGATGCACTGGCTCAAAACCATCAGACAGGTACTATTATTAGCCCTACTTGACAAACAGCAAAACTAGGACATAAACAGAACGGATAACACTGCCAAAATGACACATCTAGGAACGGACAAGTGCAGAAACACAGATGCAGAAAATGTCAGGTCTTGGTGCCCTATTTCTTCAAATAAGGTGAGCATCCCAGTACACAGAAATGGACACACAGAAATGGAGGGTTAAGGTTTAGAAATTTATAGCCATTTGGTAATCCATTTTATGTCCACTGAGACTTAACAAAGAAGCTTTTGTGTATTTTCCAAATACTCATTTTTCCTAGTAGTTTCATTTATAGTCTTAAATACAGAATCACAACTGGTAATTAAGAATCAGGGCTCCCATTACATAGACTTTAAAGTTCCATGACTTATATTGCCAGCCCAGAAATAATGTGTCATTCTTGTACAGCAGGGACTCTGTCACAATGATTTTTTTCAGCTGACCTTGGGCCTGGTATGAAAGGCCGCTCAGTGTCAAGAGGGCAGAAGGTGACTTGAGCTAAAGGAAGGCTAGGAACTTGTGGTGAGGAGGGTAGGTGATGACATGTTTTTTTTTTCTTTAAGTTTTCCGAGACAGGAGTTTCTCTGTGTAGCCATGGCCGTGCTGGAACAGGATGGCTTCGAGATGCCCCTGTCTATTTCCTGAGCGCTGGGATTAAAAAGCGTGCGCCCCACCACCTAGCAAGAAGACAGAATTTCTAACAGGGTATACACTGGGCCTGTTTCCTTCTGGCCTGCTAAGCTTTCAGCAATAATAAATCCGGGCCACTGTACGACTCCCTCTTAGGTTTCAAGCAGGTCTCCTTGACATTTTGCTCTCAACTCAAACGTTTACTCTTCAGTAATGGTTTCCAGGGCGCCCTATCCCGTTCCATTTCCAAAAGGACAAATGTAACTCTAAGATCACTCTTACAAGTGTTTGTCGTGGTCACTAGAATGCAGGAACCCTAACTTTTCAATGACCGCGGCATTGTAGTGCATGGGACTTGGCACACTTTACTCGCACTACACGCTGAGTACAGTAAAGAACAGAAACAATACAACAAAGAAACTTCTAGGAACCTGAATTTCAGGTCTTAATCCTCCATTTCCGTCTCTGTAAAATGGGGTCGCGCAGACACCGGAAGGCACTGTTTCTGGAACGTTCGGGGGCGGGGACGGGACGGTGGGCTGCGGCGCGCGCGTCACGTCCGCCGGGATTACCTGTAGGGCTGGGAGCAAAGCGCACTCTCACCGTGGCCCCGGAATCCGGGCCCAGACTGGCCTCCCGGTGCCCCACGCTGTGGCCTAGGGCCACGGCGCGAGGCTCGGCCCGCAGGAGCCTGTGCAGGAGCGCCGCCATGTGAAACACAAACACACACGTGGGCTCCTTCGCACGTCACTTCCGCGCGGCGGGGGCAAACTCATCTTAACCAATCACCTTCCGCCACAGCGAGCGCGGCCCCGCCGCTTAAAGGCGCAGGCCTCTTATCTGGGCTGCCCGCTCTCCTCTGGACAGCTGGGACAGTGCGCCGCCGCTAGGGGACAGCGCGCAGGGAGCGGGCGATTTCCCAGACCCGCCCCCCCTAGGCTGCGGGAATGCTAAAGCGTGGCAGGGGCCGGCCCGGGAAGCGGAGGAGGCGGGTCTCCATAGAAACTTCCACCTGTTTCCGGCCAGGCTGTGTGAAATTAGGGGCTGTTGCGGGGGCCAATCTCAGCCAGCTCGCTTCTACCCGGCGGCCCCTGCGGGCGCGGTGGGTGTTGTACACAATCATCATGGCGGCGGCCGGAGCCCCGGATGGTGAGTGCGGAGGGGAAGGCGGTCGGTCGTCGGCTGAAGCGCTGCAGTCGCTGCGGGGGTCGAGGGACGGGGACTGTCCCTAGAGGGAGGAGGTGGCGCAGCAGCGGCGGTGCGGTGGCGCCCGGGCCCATTCTCGTCGCAGGCCGAGCCCGCTGCGAGCTCCCACCCCCTAACCCCTTTGCAGGCATGGACACGGAGGCCGAGGCTGTGACCGCCGAGGCGCCCGCACGGCCTCTCAACTGCGTGGAGGACGAAGCCGCGGCGGGGGCGGCGGCTGAGGACTCCTGCGACGCGCGAGGCAGCCTGCAGCCGGCCCCGGCCCAGCCCCCTGGGGACCCTGTGGCTCAGGCCTCGGTCAGCAACGGCGAGGACGCGGGCGGCGGTGCGGGCAAGGAGCTGGTGGATCTGAAGATAATTTGGAACAAGACGAAGCACGACGTGAAGGTCCCTTTGGACAGCACGGGTTCCGAGCTGAAGCAGAAGATTCACTCCATTACAGGTATTCTAGGAGGTGACAACCAGCCACCTCCAGCCACCCTCCCCCCTCCAGTTCGTATTGCTTACGTTGTGCTAGACTGCTTGGTTTTCCTTTCATGGACTCCCCATATCCTCACTGCAGTTTTCTGAAGTCAGCATTTGCATGTCCATTATTAATCAGAGAGGGAAAATTGGAACCTCGATGATATAAAGCTACCAAATGGTGAAGCTGACATGGAAGCCTGAAACTGATAATGAACTACTCTTACTAGTGAAAACCTCCGGCGGCATTTATTAAATTTACAGTTACTGGGCAGTAACTGTGGAGATTCTGAGTGGGTCTAGGATGTAGCCACGGATTTATTTTTAGCAGATAGGTAAGTTTCGTAAGGGAAGTTCATGGAGCTTTACTATTGGCAGTCATGGTGGCCCTTCGCAGTTATTTATATTTGGTCGTTTTATTTGTCCCGGTTTACTGTTTAAAAGTATTTCTTTCTTAAGCTTTTCCCATGTATCCTGTAGTAACTCATTGAAGCTTCTGTATCCCTGACACTTGAGCATTCTCAGTATTTAAGTGAGAACAAGGTTGAGGAACAACTTGGAAAGAATGGTAGCTAAAACACATTGATCAATTCTAAATACCCTAAGTGTATTAGAAGGACCAAGTCTTACCAGTCAAATAGTCCGGATGGTCTGAATTCCCCCAAGTTCACAGAGCTGATAGCTGATGGAACCCGTATTCACTTCCTGTTTTATTACAGAAGGGTGATGGTCCATACATTTCCTGCTTATTCCTTTCACTGCCTTCCACTTTTTATCAAGGTCTCCCACCTGCCATGCAGAAGGTCATGTATAAAGGACTTGTTCCTGAAGATAAAACGTTGAGAGAAATAAAAGTGACCAGTGGAGCCAAGATCATGGTGGTTGGCTCTACTATAAATGATGTTTTAGCAGTGAACACCCCCAAAGATGCTGCCCAGCAGGATGCAAAGGCTGAAGAAAACAAGAAGGAGCCCCTATGCAGGCAGAAGGTGAGTCCCTTGTGTGCTTGCTTGTTGGTCCTGGGAAATTGGAGGCTGGTTACATTCTCCCTAGAATAAGCTCCTTTTTGGACAGGGCCCATGATGGAAATTTATGGAGCAGTTGGGTGCAGCAGAGTGGAGTTGACAGCTACCTGAAATATGCAGCTTTGTCATCTGGCGGTCAGTGTGCCTTAGTCTTCCTGCTTTAGGATAAAGCCTTAGTAAAGGGAGACTTGAGCTAGTTAGCAAATGGAACCAGAGGTGGGTTTCTTTGATTTAGTGCCAGAGAATATGACCAATGTTTGAATTAATCCCTTGTTCCTTCTTACAACTGCTCACATTTGGTATGTGTATGTGTGTCTTCTTAAGTTAAAAAAAAATCAATTATGGATAGGTATGGAAGTTAGCAGATTTCAGAGGTTCCCCTAAAACTGAACCATTTCAGAAACCTAAACTAAACTGAATAAGAAGATATCGACACTTTTTATTTTGTTTTGTTTTGTGTTTATTGTGGCCCTTCTCCACCATATGGTCTCAATTTTTATAATATCTCTCTTGCTCTTTGTGCCTGTTTTTTGAGACAGGGTTTCGCTTCTGGCCTGAAGCTTGATCTGGATACTAGGCTAGCCTCGACTTTGTACAGTCCTCTCGTCTCTGTCTCCCTAGTTCTGAGTTTGTGGGCATGTGCCATCATGCCTGTTTATAGGTGTGTGTTTGTGTGTGTGCATACACTGAGGACTGAATCTAGTGTCTTGTTCATGATAGTGGGCAAGAACTCTACACTGAGCTACCCCTTCCCAGCTTCTTACCATGTATTTTTAATTTACTCTATGAGCTGACTTAGTTATAGGGCCAGTAGACACTAAAGGCATAGTTCCAACTGTGGGGCAAAGATATTTTTGTGTTAGACATCCATAGTGCATGTTTACTTCTAACCAAAAAGAAATATTTAAAAATTTTGGTAGCAATTGAACAGAATTGTGGGGATAGTTATACTTTTTTTAAAACTAATTTTTTAAAAAGGTTTCTTTATTTACTTATTTATGCATGAGTGCCCTGTCTGCATGTTCCTCTGCTCACCAGAGGAGGGCATTGGATCCCATTATAGATGGCGGTTAGCCATCATGTGGTTGCCAGGAACTGAACTCAGGACCTCTGGAAGAGCAGCCAGAATGCTCTTAACCAATGAGCCATCTTTCTAGCCCTTCTTAACATTTTTTGATGAAAATACTAATGTGTTTGGAAGAAATATTGTTTGGTGACAAGTTGCTATTCCAGATAGCATAGAAAATACTATGTAAAATATTTTAAAACTATGTTATCTTTACAAAATCCCCAAAACTCTGAAGTTCAAAATATCTTTCCATAGGGTATTTGTTTTGTGTTGTATTTGGTGCTGGGGATTGAACCTGGAACCTTGTCAAGACATAACACATGCTCTTCTGCAGAGCAGCACCTCTATAGAGCTTTAGATAAGTGTTGTAAAGTTGAGTTGTCATCTAAAAGCAAATATTTATATGAACCATTTCATCCCTAAATATGGGGTCTTAATTTCCTATAACCCGTTGAGGTCATTCGTATTCCCCTTTCACATTTATGAAGGAAATGTGAGTATTTTCTCCTGTCACATCCTTAGTGCATAACCTGCTTTGTAAATACAGGTTTTGGGTTACTAATGGTAGCTTAACAGGCCTAGAACTGTTCACCAACTGCTCAGGGACAATTCTCCCAAAGGTACTTATAAAGGCATGACTCAATATACTTCCATTCTGTGGTGCTTTGCTCTGGTGATGCCACTGGTTACAAGGCATAGCACCATGTAATGAAGCTCCACTCCCTCAATAGGCTTTTGATCAGTGTGTTCAGAATCTGAGGCTGATGTCAGCAGCAGCCCTTTGCTAGCCATCCTTACCACAGTGTTCTGCTATGCCATTGAAGGTTTGAGTTAGCTTGTTGTCAGCTAGTGCTTGCATTTGACTAAGTTTTTACCCTTGGCCCGTTTATTGGCCTATAGTAAAGCCACAGGTGTAAAGGAGAGGAGATGAAGGCATTTAGGGACTGTGAGTTTGGAACTCTTGAGTCCTGGGGTAGAGGGCAGGAGTAGGCTTGGAGACTTCTTAGTGATAGGCATGGGGGTGGGGGTCAGCATTTCTGTTTTCAAATGTGACTCCTCAGGTTGAGGTTGTGGCAGAGGAAGACTTCTGCTATGGTCTGGCTCTCCATAATGATGGAGAAATGACCCTGCTTGGCATTTATACCAATACAGGCAACTCATATCTTCTTTGGAGTTGAAAAACACAGGTATTGTTCTCTTCCTGTCTGTTAACTTAATGGTTACTTTTTTCACTGGAGAGATGGGAGTAAAACATTTAGATCAGTAACAAACTCCTGCTTAGTGTGTGGGACTTTTATGTTTAGTATGGTGGCTGTGTATGTATACTTAAGCTTAAATAAAATTGAGAAGTCACTTTATGTTGGTAGCCATATTAGTCAGAGGCCAGTGGCTAGCACAGGTAAAGGAACATTTCATTATCAACATAAACTCCTTGAATACATTTGTTCTGCAGTGTCAAAGACTCTGTAGTTTGTTGATACTAAAAGCTATCAAACAAACATTAAGGCTGTTCCATCCTGTCTATCCAAGAGATAGAAATCTAGCTCACATGTAGTATGCTGTCTCATTTTCCTCTTTGTGTTCTGGCTTATATTGTAGCAACACAGGAAAGTTTTGGACAAAGGAAAACCTGAAGATGTGATGCCATCTGTTAAGGGTGCCCAGGTAAGCTAGCCTGCTTTTTGAGCCCCTGAAAGGAGCCGGTTCCACAATTTAAGCTTCCTATAATCATGGCTTCAAGTTCTGTCTCATTTCCCTCTCATTGTCCTACTGTCCCTCCCTTTCTCACTGTGCTCTTGTGCCTCCAGGAGCGTCTGCCAACGGTACCCTTGTCTGGCATGTATAATAAGTCTGGAGGGAAAGTGAGACTCACCTTTAAGCTAGAGCAAGACCAGCTGTGGATCGGCACTAAAGGTACTCTAGTTCTTTCAGTCTGCTTGGCATTTCGGCACCCTGCCTGCCTCTGGCGCCCGACAG